CGAACAATGACAACAAATAAGCGGTAAGGTGAATAATGACACATTGTAGAGCAATCACTTCGGCATCTATCTTTCTCTCACAATTTATTTATATTAAATGTCAGGCGTTTTTGATAACTATCATTAGCCCTTTAGTTTTCTTCTGGCTTCACAGAGAAGTCGAGACGGGGGGGGGGAACAGAAGGGTGTTTCAAAGACGAGGGTAGAAAACGTACAAATAAGGGTGAGGTGAGTACTGTTGAAGTAGTCGAATATGACATACAATGGGATGATGGTAGTTTGTAGTCAGAAGTCAACTGCCGGTTAATAAACTTCTTTGCTTTATGATTATACGTTGCCCAGGGTGCACCACGTGAAGGTAAGTCTATCGCACACCCCTTCTCTCAAAATTTAGTTTGAAGGCAATTGAGTAGTCAATTTTCAGGGATGCTGAATTTCACTGAACGGTTTCCATTAAGTTACAGCTCATGCATTGTTATAGAGTGGGATAACGTGAGTAATCTATACAATTGCGAGAGCCCAAATGATTCGTCATACCTGGAGGACTTAACTAAAATTGGCCGACATTCACTATATATATACATACATATATATATATATATATATATATATATATATTAATTTTTTTCTCTTCGGCAGACTTACGGTGGCATATCGCCTTCTCTTCTTCTTTTTCTTTCTTTTCTTTTAGACAAGAGTTATTTTCATTGCGATAGAGAGAGAGAGAGAGCAGAAATGCGTAAAAAAGAATTGGCAAAGCTGACCTGAACTGAAACAAACGTTTCAGCTAACTTATAAAAGTCCCTAATTAAGTTTCAGATTCGGTAAATTTCAGTAACCCTGTGAAAGTAGGAAAAAATGTTAATTTTTGATGACATTTGAGGGAATTTTTATGACAAAATAAATAAAAGATATAAGGATGTAAAAAAATCATATAGATAGCACATAACATTCTGTGTGTGTGCGTGTATTTCAATTATCTTCATAATCGTCTTCGTTTCCCCCTTCCTGTTCACCCGACACCCCGGAAACATCACAACTGGGATTCTCTGACTCCTCTTCTTCTCTATCTTTATCGACACCTCCTGACTGTGACCTCGAACTTTGTTCTCCTTCATAGTTATCATCCCCTTCCTCCTCATCATTATCTTCATTCAACTTCTTCATCAAACCAGTTAGAAAAGCCTTTAGCCCACCTCCAGGGTCTGCGAGGCACCTCTCCATCACAGTTTTAGCTTCCTCCTGTCGTCTCACAAGTAGTACTGGGCTTCCAATCGATCGATAATGTGAAGTCGAGGGGGTAGATGCGGTCGCAATAGCGAACCTCTTGCATCGCCTTCGAGAACCTGACGAAAACAGTTGCTGTTGTTGTTCATCATCTGAATCAGCCCCATTACCCCGTCCGCATTGATATTGCCAATCCCATACCTCCTTGAACATCTGCCTGGTCATACTACTTCCACCAATATGAGTAGCTATTGATGACGAATCAGAGTAAGTGTGGAAGAGATCGAGAAAGGCGGAGATAAGACGCAAAAGAGCCTTTTCTTGAGGTGCTACCTCGGCCACAGTGAGAGAGTCAATAGTTTCCATTGGTTCTGGAGATTGACGTGGGGGTGTGGATGAGACGGTATTGGTTGTGACATTAGTAATTGCACGATGGTAACGGCGACTTGAGGAGGAATGAGCAGAATGACGACACCAGGATGAGGATGAAGGTTGTTTGTAGCTACTACGATGGGATCGAAAATTGTCGAAGAGGAGGAGAGATAGAATTTGAGTAAAAAGTTCCCCAGGAGAATCACCACCTACAGTGGTAGCTAAAACTAAAATGTTGAAAGAGGTGAAATTACTAAGAGTGGGACAATTGAGTACATATTTCACTAATAATCGCATTATGAACTTAAATCAACATGCCGGAAATGGAAACTTGGCATGGACGAGCCTTTTAGTAACCCTTAAACGACGGAATTCTTTTTTAAAAAAATGCACCCAATCGCACTCACGTGTGTCTCACAACAGGCAGACCCCAACGTGATGGATTTTGGTGATATCAGGAGACTATAGACGCATTGAACATGTTTCAAACGGCAATAGCGTCGCTTTTGTTACGAGTCTAATACCAATGAAGCATATTTTGAAAGAGGACCGTACGGTCATTTCCTTCCTTTCCCACTAAGGGAGACAAATATGGTGTTGACTATTTACCCTTGAGAAAATACAGTATATATATATATATATATATTTCCATTATATTTATGCAATTGAACTGTTTGCAAGTTTCAAGACTAGAGTTCTCACACATTCTTCACGACCCTATATGAAGAACAAGGATATCGGCTTCGGAAATTCGTCTTTAAAATTAAAAGCGCGTGATCTCCAGGAGGCACACCGAGACATATAATTATAGTAAGAGCAATGAGTGAAATAGGAGTTTATGATAAAGAGACCACCTGATTCTAAAGGTGCAAATACTTTTTTCACGAAATAGACGAAATAGTTCATTTGAATGAAATGTGATATCCAACCTAATATACATATATATATATATATATGAGATCATTGCCATGACATATCAAAGCCAATGAAGAAGAAGAAGATCAGGTTTCCACCATCGGTTTAAATTTGAAATAATTAACTAGGTCAGAGGTTGCGAGTTCAGACCCCGTTGAGATGAAGATTTCTCACCAAAAGAGAAATAATGAGACTTCCACTTTCATTAGGGTGAGTGCTGAAAAGCCATCTATTGAATAGTCTTAGAGATAAATTTACATTTCACTATCCTTAAATATCAGCTCCTTTAAATTACCAGAAAATATTTTCTGATGTGCTCACCAGATTTCTTAGGATGTGAAGAAATCACATTAACATGCAAAACTACGCAGTCCTCCTTGCCACAGATTATAAAAAGGCAGCGCATATGTTCGCAAAAAAAAAGCTTCCAAAAGAAATTTTTTTAAACTCAATTCCAGAGACCCAATGACAATGGAAGAGTATCTAGAGAAATCGGCAAATCTAACCGATAATATATATTCGGGGGGGGGGGGGGGGGGGGGGGGGGGGNGGGGGGGGGAGGGGCTTAGGGAGTAAGGAGCGCCCGATAAGGCACAAAAATGCTTCAAAGATACGAATTTCTTAAACTGTCTATTGTGGGTGTTTTTACTACGAATAGGGAATTGAAAAGCAATTCGTTGGCTTGCAAAAAAAGGTATACTTGGAGGCCAACAGCACCTAGGTTATTTAAAGCCCAGGCACTTACGTTCTGGCGCATCAAGAATATTGACCGCCACAAGAATAGCACCGCAGAGAAGGGACATATCGGAGTTTACCTAAAAAAAATAAAATTAAAAACTAATAATGGTACACATCTGCTAGTCTATTTTAAACTATGTTTAATGTAGCAAGTGTTTAAGGCTTTATTTTGATCTTGCTTTCGTTCTCGGCATGTTTATCACCATCGACTTTTAATTACGTATCTAAAGATCTAGATAAATACTACCACCGGCTAATTAATAATATGAAACAGAAAGTCTAAAGCGATAGCGAACCCTGACTACTGATAAGGTAATAAGTAGCTTACTGTTATATTTTCCGCCAGTAATTGAATAAGTTCAGTCTGCAGCCAGAATTGACTGCGAGCACCAGCATTTGTGAGCAAATTTGCAATAATCATAATCGCCTATAGAGACAAAGAT